ACACACACACACACACACACACACACACACACGTACAAACACACACCCGCGCGTACTCGTTCGCAAAAAAAGTCCAACGTTTTCAGTGTTAGCCATGAAGTACTGTGTTGCACTAAGTCTCTCGTAAACAACAAATTTTGATTTATCCATTGATCCTCTATTAACAAGCTTGATAACTGAGACTTAATCGTATTGAACAGGTAAACGAAAGAGATTATTAGCTGGGATCAATGGTGCGTTTCCAAAGATAGACGTTGTTCCATGTGTCAAGCTCGATCACGCACACAATAAAACCACATTAATTTATCACATTCATAATATTATTTTAGATCTGTGAAGAGCTTATAGGGAAAAAATCTTGGTACTTGGTACTCACTAAATGTGTCTCTCAATCTAAAAACAAGAAAAGACTTGGACTCATTTTTGGAAGAACTGAAATATTAGATCGCTTCTAGATTACCAGATAGTGTGTTATAGATCTTGGGGCCATGAAATTCAAATGTTGCATATTTGAACGTGATTATTTTGTTCCAGACTCTGTTTTGGTCATAAAATTATGAGCGCGCAGGACACTTTAAACATTTTCAATTAAGGTAGGAATTAGTTTTGAATTTAGCCTGAATGACGGCCAAAGCCAACTCTTATTGATTTTGGACCAGCAAGGAATCTTTAACGTGCGAAACTTACACACGGGACTCCGAGAAGGCTATGTGTTAGATCTTACCTACTATAAAATCAGGGGTGTGGCTGAAACAGAGCAGTAAGAAGGGGCCAAGGAGTGACAGTAGAAAGGCACTAGAAAGAATCAGAACCTCAGAAGAGGGGGCAAAGGAAAGGAGGGGGTAGGGGGCAGAAATAGGAGAGGAACGGAGACACAGAACATGGTAAGACAGCAAGAGGAGGTGAAAGGGAAAAAAATAAGAGAAGAAAATGTTCCGTCGCTGTCAGGTTTCGAATCCGGAGATGCAAACAACGTAAGCTCTAGACCATGAGAGTCCAGTTCCAGATTAATTGAAGCTCATAATACACTGAATAAGTTCAAAAGAAGCACCCATTTAAGAAGAATGGTCAAAGACTCGACAAGGATTTAATTGTAGTATCAATTTGAAGAGCTTTTTTGGCTTTACTTCTGTATGGCTGTTCGCTTATTATTGTATTTTTGTTGGATGGGAAATCAATCAAACAAAAATAATTTATCAACCCACAATCTAACAGAAATGAGGTTATAAGTCAACAAGCTCTTCAAATTTGTATTCTTATTATTTCCACTTCCAGACTCTGCTCATTATTCTTGTGGATCCCTCAATCCTTAGTGGGCGAAAAAGTGAAACGTACTTGTTGGTCAGCACTTTCCTAGAAAGTTCTTCTATTTTTGTGCCGCTGATGAATACACACACACACACACACACACACACACACACACACACACACACACACACACACACACACG